ATATATATATAGGGTGCGGTTTGTATAGAGCCTAGGCTCTAAACAATCAAATTAGAGCCTACCTTCAATTAGTGTCGAGAAATGGGGTTTCAACACTGAAAATCTGTGTGAGATGATCAATTTGACGATATTTGGGTATAAAAACAATAACTTCTAGTGAAATTTTTGAGGTAGGCTTTAATTTGATTGTTTAGAGCCTCGGCTATATATATATATATGATGATAACATACAAACTAATAAATTTAATATATGTAGTGTAAATTAATTATAAAATAAAAAGTCTGAATGGCAGTTTGGTTAGATGGTCTGACTAAGGGTATAGCCCTTGATAGAGTGGAATGGGGAGCAGGATTTGTGTAGCTGATCCCAAATAGTTGATGACGATGACAATGATAGTAGGTTTGGTTGGAGTTTAGATTGGTCACCCTTTCCAATTTTTTAGGCATAATATTGCTTTCTCAAAGAGGTTTTATTGGAGATATGGGAAGAAGTGAGGTAGGTCTCTCGCTAAAACTCTCTAGGATCCTAGAGAGAATCTAGGATATTTAGGAAATGAGAGAGAGAGACTCTACATTCCATCCTAAATCCTCATATCTTTATAGAAGTTTCATATTGTAAGTCAATAAAGTTCGGTAGTTGATTTTGTTACATTCATCGCTTTTCCTATTTTTAAGAAATTTTATTTTGATTTAGATTTAGGAAACATAACCAAAATCATGGAAAGGGACGAAAGAGAAAAGATCCTTAAATAAGGGAGAGGAGTGCCTCCTCTTTTCTCCCTAGGTTGTGTTTACTCAAGCTCTTAGAGATCATTATATTTTATTGTTCACTATATTTTTATAAAAATTTTTTTATCAATATTACATTACATAAACCCTTTTAATAAGACCCGCAAAGCAAATGCATCTTACTGGTTTTAACTAATTGAAACATGAAGGCAATCATAACTTTTCACAGCCACCATTGCAAAGGCAAATACCAATTGACCATGCCCTCTGATTATCCTATTCAGAAAATATAACTATCATATATAAAGGAAATGAATGGGAAGAGTAGTACCGTTACTGCGATGATAGACAAACTTAACGACTGGGCAGCCAACTTCCCATCTATGTTTCACTTCAAGCCCCTTAAAGTCCCAAACCTATATACAAAGAAATAATAAAAATAGATACAGATCAATGAACAAGTCGAAATGAACAGTTGAAGTATAGTTTGAGCTAATACTTATGCTGCTACATTATATAAGGTACTACAAACAAGCATCACACTTATAACCAAGGCAGACATATTTAGAAGAAAACAAAGTGTACAAACACAAAACCCTGACTTTTTGGTGTGACGGGTGATGGTAATTACTAATGACAGAAAAATACACAAACAGGCACATGTAAGTGTATACAACAACAAAAGTGAGCCAAAATAGTTCTTCATGCATGAGGTAGCACTTGGATCCACAACAGGAGAGTCGAGCGGTATCCATATAAGTAGCAAAACTAATTCAAGATGTCAAGGTAATGTAGATAATAACCATTTTCTGACATCAGAACTGAAGTATGCCGCTGAGGGCTAAAAAAAAAAGAAATATGTATGTGCTGCAAAATAAAGAAACAGCACAGTTCTAGTAAAGAATGGTCCTTGACCTTTATATCACCATGATAACCTGCACTTATCAAATGACAGTTTGTGGCATCACAGGCAAGGCTGACTACTTCACCATCATGAGCCCACCTTCTTTGCTCGTAATTTTCCACATAGCTACCTCGTCTTTCACCAGATTGTAGATTAAATCGTTCAATCCAACCACCTTGTGTTCCCAGCACAGCAAAGTTACCACATGCACTGACTGCACACGACTATAGGAGACAATTCAAAGTCAGCTAGATAAACTATAAATTACTGAAATTTTCATCACATAGAACCATTCAAATAATCGATAGACAGCAACGGAGAGAAGGAGACCCACCAGAAGTGAAATGACCCCATTGATGGGTCCCACTCTATCCCAACCACTATTCATCATATTGATGAACCTAATGGACTGTGGTTCCCCATAATCCATTGGACTATTGTATACTTTTCCCAAAACCACATACCTTGACAGGCGTTGGGTTGTCAGGGCATGATGGCTTCAATATGTGTTCTCCCAGCACATAGTTCTGAAGGCGCCACACATATGCTTGTGGTGTATCCATGTGACAGGTTACAACGTTACACCAATCACGTTGACGGATTTCAGCTTTATTTTGCATTGGACAACAAACATAACCGATTCATCAAATTGAATAAAATAGTTTGCAACTCAACCAGCATGTTAAAAGAAAAAAAAATGCCCCAAGAAAACAACAGACAAAACAAAGTCCACATATAGTTGTGTGTGTGTGTGTGTGTGTGAGAGAGAGAGAGAGAGAGAGAGAGAGAGAAA